GGCCACGATGCGACGTCACGAGGCTTTTCCGCCGCTCGCCCTGGGGGGCCCTCGTCGCCGCAGCTGGATTCGTGTCGGAATTCTGGGCAGAGCGCGCTCCAGGAGCGGTCCCGGGACTGGCTGCGTCGGCGCTGTTTGGCCTGAAGAGCTACGCGACGGCTCGAGGGGCGAGGCGCCCAACCTCGCGGCGGAAGGCGGCGGGCGGGCGCTGGAGGCAGGCGGAGGTACATCGAACGCGATTCGCGCGAGAGGGCTGTCGGAGGGAGCCGCCTGACAGCGGTCCAGGGATTGGTTGCATCGGCGCTGTTTGGCTGGGAGGACCGCGCTTGGACTTGAGTGGGAGTCGCAGCCAACCTCGCGGCGGAAGGCGGCTGGCGGGCGCCAGAAGCAGGCGCAGGTAAATCGACGATGCATGCCAGATCGATGGCGCGATGGCTGTCCGAAGGAGCCGCCTGGAGAGCAGGAGAGGGCCTCGCCTCCAGGGAAGACGCGCGGCGGCGGAAGACGGCGCGGGGCCGCGGCTGCTGGCGGAGGTAAAGAGACGGCGATGGAGATCGCCGCCGAGGTCAGGCTGCGGCCCTGCATCCTCGTCGGTGGAATCCGGCGGGGGGGGGCCGTGGAAGCAGGCGGAGGTGAAGCGCGTCCGATCTCGAGCGCGGAAGTTGGCGCGGGGGGGGGGCATCCGGCCTTGCGGGCGGCACCAAGCCGCGCAGTGACACCGTATCATAGGGATGAGTAGCTTTCGAAGGGCAACCCTGCGCCGATGCCACGCGCGGTCCATCTGGGCACATGCCCCCCTCCATGGGCTTCTCCTTGGACGGCCAAGGGCCTTGCATCCTTACCGCGCACCCAGACTTCCCGATCGCGCTGTAGCTGTTTTGGCCCAGGCCGGAGTCCCCCCGAGCCGCCGGCCAGGGCAGTCATGGTCGATAACAAGACTGCGCGGCGAGGGCGGCGAAGCGAGGCCACGAAGGCGCTGAACTCCCTGGCTGAGGAGTTCGAGCTGGACACGTTGTCTCACCGTCCACGGGCCCAGGAAGTGGTTGACCTCTTCTCGGCATTGTGCGACGTCGCGCCTGCCGAGCGGGCGCCGGAGCTCTGCGCGGCAAGGGACCTGTGGATCGAGAATGGCGGCGGCGGCTCCTTTCCCGAGCTACCAGATCCTGGAGCGGACGAGGACGCCGACGACGGCCCCGACGGGCGCGGGCGGGTCCCTGGACACGCAGAGTGCCCGGCGCAGGCGGGCAAAGCGCTTCGGCTGAAAAGCAGAGCCTTCATGCTCACCTTCAACTGCTTGGCCTTCGTCGCGCCCCTGGAGCTGCGGCAGGCGCCCCAGTCGTGGGTAGAGGATCGGAAGAAGGAGTTCGGCATCACGCACTGGCGCGCAACCATGGAGGAATCCCTGCATTCTACTGATACTGGCCGCGTGCACTTGCACAGTTACTTTTCCTGGCACGGCGGGGGGGGCAACGGCGTGGACCACAGGGCCCTGGACCCCTGGGTCTTCAGGGGCGCGAAGCCGCACGTGGACAAGAATACCGAGGGGCGAGGCCCGCGGCACTGGATGAAAGCAACACAGCACGGACATTTCTACGCATGGGTAAAGAAGCAGGGAACTTTGGAGAGAGCATAAAATTATCCTCCCTGGGAGACGGGATGGTCTCCGGAGCGCGCCTGGGTCATGGTCTTGTACAGGCAGCACAGGCTGGACCACGCGCAGTTCATGGGTCTGTCGATGAAGCTCCGGGACGGGCACGATAGGGCCCAGGCCTTAGTGGCACCCATTGATGCGGACGAGCGCGCGCAGAAGCGCGCGCGCGAGAAGGAGGAGGCGCGGGCGCCAATCGCAAGGAAGGCGCTGCCCTTTAAGCTCCTGCCTGATCAGATCCAGCGATGGAGGTTGCAGTTCGAGGAAGAGGAGGAACGGTACAAGTTCCTGGTTCTCTTTGGCCCCTCTTGCACTGGCAAATCTCGGCTGGCACGGAGCCTGTTCGGAGACGCACAGACGCTCGTAGTAGATGCGCAGCACGCAGAGCACCCAGATCTGCGTTGCTTTCAAGGAAAGACCCACAAGGCGATCCTCCTCGACGAAGTGCAATCCCTGGAGTTTGTCGTCGATAATAAGAAGTTGTTGCAATCGCACGTGGACGGGGCCATCCTTGGCCAGAGCCCGACGCAGAAGTTCTCATACGAGATATGGCTCTGGCGGACACCACTCATGTTGACGACGAACAACTGGACGTACGATGACTAGTCTGCCGCTGACAAGAACTGGATCCAGACGAACGCAGTGGAGGTGTTCGTCGGAGAGCCCGTGTGGGAGGCGAGGGTGGCGGCCCCGGCGCCGGCGACGCCCCCGCGGTCATCTCCCGCGCCCTCTGTCAGCTCTGGCGCGTCTCGCAGGAGTTGGGCCACGCGTCGCCGAGAGGCCCCCGCGGGCGCGAGCCCGGAGCACAAGCGGGGCCGGGAGACTCCCGGCTAGAAAAAAAGAAACGGGTGTCCAAGCGCGGGCCGGGGGGGGGGGCTCGGGGCCCAGCGACCGTCGTATCCAGCGGCGCTGCCGCGCGATTACGCCACCGCGCTAGGGCGGGGGCCGGGGGGCCGGGGGGGGACTTGGGGCCCAGCGGCCGTCTTATTCGCCGGCCCAACGGGCCAGAGGCGTGCTAAGATCTCCGGTAACTGGTTAACAATTTTCTAGTTCGCGCGCGCGGGGCGGCCCCTGGGGGTCCCCGGACGAAAAGTACCCCGACCAGGTCCCGGCCGGTCCCCGGCCGGGGCCGGGTCCCGGCCGGGTCCCGGCCGGGTCCCCCCGAGCGCTCCATGAGCGCACCAACAGGGCTCCGAGACGTCCCCGAGAGCCCCAAGAAAGGCCAAGAGGCCCCCAAGAGGCCCCCAAGATGGTACACGAGGGGTCCGACATGCCACAAGATCGCTCCAAGACGCCCAAGATAGCCCCCAGACGCCCCAAGAGGCCTCCAAGAGCACTCCCAATAGGGCCCCCGGAGGCAAAAATCATTGTTTTTCCATAGGTTTTTGAGAGATTTTGGAGCTTCCACCTTTTCGGCTTCCCGACGCCCCAAGACGGCCCAAGAGGCCCCCAAGATCGCCCCAAGAGGGCCCAAGAGGCACCCAAGAGGGCCCCAAGATGGCCCAAGAGGGCTCGAAGACGGCCCAAGAAGCCTCCAAAACGGTCCAAGAGGGCCCCAAGAACGCCCCCAAAGGGGCCCCAGAGAGGGAACACGAAACAACATTTCGAGCCCTCGGCCCTAAGAAGCCCCTACGAGGCCCCTAAGAGGCCCCAAGAGGCCCCCACGGGGCCCTCAGGAGGCCCCCAAGAGTCCCCCAAGCGGCCCCAGGAGGCCCCCCAAATGCCCCCCGAGCGCCCCAGGAGTCCCCCAAGCGGCCCCAGGAACCCCCAAAGCGCCGCATTGACACCAGGCCCTCGGGCAAACGGCAGACATGAGACTGTATGGGCCGGCGGAATGAGCGAAGCGATTAAATAATACGAATTAAAGGCCCCCCCCCTCTGCTCCAAGGCGCAGGGGCGCAGATTCGCCGTGCACCACCTTTAATTAATACTATACTAGGAGTAGGGGCGGCGAACCCGCGATCGCCGATCTGCGTCGTTTTCTAAAGTCCGGCGCCCAACCGCGGCGGTTCCACGACGGTTCCACGACGGTTCCGAGAGGTTGACATGTCATGAACCCTATGAATTCAAAAAGTTCCACGACGGTTCCACGACGGTTCCGACGTCGCAAGTGCGACGAAACCATATGAATTCACCGGGTTCCACAACGGTTCCGCGACGGTTCCACGACGGTTCCGACGTCACAAGTGTGACGACACCCTATGCATTCACAAAGTTCCACGACGGTTCCACGACGGTTCCACGACGGTTCCGACGTCGCAAGTGTGACGAAACCATATGAATTCACCGGGTTCCACAACGGTTCCACGACGGTTCCACGACGGTTCCGACGTCGCAAGTGTGACGAAACCATATGAATTCACAAGGTTCCTGCTTGGTTCCATGCTGGTTCCACGATGGTTCCGACGCCGCCAGTGTGACGAAACCTTATGAATTCACAGGGTTCCTGCTTGGTTCCACGCTGGGTCCACGATGGTTCCGACGTTGCAAGTGTGACGGAACCTTGTGAATCCACAAGGTTCCTGCGTTCCCAAAGAAAGCGCGCTCGCGCGCTGTCGCACCTGCTCGAATGTTTAATGTTGCGTTCTTTTTTCCAGTAGGCATCTGCCGAGGGCACGTGAAGACCCCTCCTGGGGCCTTCAGCGACTCGGGATCACCGACGCCACGGCCTCAGCGGCAAGGACAGGCGGTCGGGATCCCAGTGGAGGCCGCTGCCTCCCCAGTTGTTGAAGGTACTTGGGGGGCGGCCGTCGCGCGCCCTCGGCGGGTGTCACCCCGGGGGAGTCCATGTGACTCAGTGCGAGCGAGCCCCAGCGCGGGGCGAGTGGGCTGGGTTCGAACGCGAACGAGTCTGGATATGAGTGGGCCCGGGTCTGCGTAGGTCTGTGCGTGAGTGAGCCCAGGGGGAGTGCATGTGAATGAGCGTGCGTCTGATCACGGGCGCATCTGAGCATGAGTGCGTCTGCGCATTAGCGTGGTCTCAACGTGAAGAAGGTGCGTGGGTGTGAGCAAGTACGGTTACGAGTGGGTCTAGCCGTCAGCGGCCGAGCAGGAACGGGTTTGGGCGCGAGTGGATCTAGGAACGATTGATTAATATGAACTGTCATGGTACCCCTGTGCTACAGGGCGCAGGGGCGCAGATACGCCGTGCACCACCTTTAAATAGTATTATACTAGGAGTAGGGGCGGCGAACCGTAGCACCCCTGGCACCCCTGCTCTCTTCCTTCTGGCACCCCTCCTCTCTTCCTCCTCGCCCCCCCTGGCACCCCTCCTCTCTTCCTCCTCGCTGTCCGCAGCCGCCTTGGCCCTGGCCTCTCGCGCGCGGCGCCGGGCGCCCCCTGGCCTCGCGACATGTCGGAGCAGGCAGCGCTGAGCAGGGCGTGGTTCGCGGGCAAGGAGGGCGGCCTCTGCGGCCGCGAGCAAGCGCGGGCGCGGGCGCTCCGCGAGGTGCGGCGCGAGGAGGGGAAGAGCGACTACGGCGCGATGTCCTTCGTGGCCAGCCGCGCGAGGAAGACGAAGGTGGGGAAGCCCTCCGGCGACCATCCTACATCGCAGTCCATCAAGGAGCTCTTCGAGCGCGTGGACGCCGACCCCGAGTGGCACCCTGGGAAATTAGCAGAGGGGGGGCTCCGCGGCCGGAAGCGCGCCCTGCGGGGCCCGAAGCAGACCGCCATTGTAGCGGCGGCGAAGCGTCTGAAGAAGCAAGGCGAGGAGCCCACGTACGCCGCTATCGCGGCCGCGTGCCCGACGGCTGCCCTGAACCCCGACACGGGGCAGCCCGTGGACAAGAAGGCAGTCTACACTGTATTCCGGGAGGCTTGCTTTGATGAAGGAGCAGACGATCCATGGGATAACAGGCCGCGCCTGTCGCGGAACGCGCTGGACGACGTGTCCAAGCGGAGGCGGTGGGATTTCGCGAAGCACGTGATATCTCTGTCGCACAGGCCGCAGCGGTACTACGACAATCTCGTGTGGTGCGACCTCTGCAACTCTGTCCTCCCTCGGACTCAGAAGAAGGCGCAAGACATGGCGCTTGCGCAAAAGGGGGGGAAGGATGGATGAGCAAAGGCTCCCAGGCGCAATCGCAGAACCTCCGCGGCCCCAAACACCACCTCAAGTTGAATAGCTCTGACACGGCGCGGGCGTGGTGGGCCCCGGTCCTCACGCGCGGGAAGCTCCACATCGAGCCGCTGCCTGGCGATTTCCCTGGGGAGACCCCGCTGGGGGCCGAGATCATGGCGGCGAAGGTGCGATCTGCGCTGAATGTGCGTTTTCCCGGGGGCGGCCGGCAGCCTCGCGCGCTCTTCACAGACCGCGGGAACGGCTTCTACAACGCCGGCTCAGGGGCAATCACCGAGGAGTACCGCGGGGCGTTGAGGCGCCACAACCTGAGGGCATTTTTCCTGCGGACGCTTCTGCGCAGCCTGGCCAGCTCCAGGAGGTCATGCTCCACGAGACGGCGGCGTCGTGGATGCGGGACAGGACCACGAAAACGCTCCCGAAGTGGTGCTGGGACGAGACCCTGGAGGCGCACCGCGCCCGGCTGAAGGCCTGCGCGGCGCAGATCAACAGCGCCTGTGACGTCGACGGCCTGCGCCGCGAGCTGCGGTCCAGGGTAAAGGACCTGGACCGCCGCCAGGGAGACCGCCTCGCCAAGTGATGCGGTTCGCTGAAAAATAGCGCGTGCCCAATGTAAGGAAACTTTCGCACCTGTCTGTAGGGGGCGCCGAGCGAGCTTCGTCCGCGCCCACCGCCGGGGGGTCTTGTCCAGCGAGGGCGGTGATGGAGGCAGCCAGGCTGGCGAGAAAGCTGGCTAGGACGTCGAGGTCATGGCGGAAGGGGGTCGGGCCCTTGCTGCGAGGGCCAGGCCCGAGCAGTGAGTTGCCCAAGCCTCCTCGTGCTTCGCGCTGCACAGTAGGTGCCCCACCACCCTGGCTGCTGCCCATCTCTCGCCGTCCCAGGGGGCACCCTCCGGGAGGCCGCCTTCTGGGATCTCTGCGCCGCATACCTTGGCCAGGAAGTTTCCTGACCTTTCGGCGCTGGGGTCTCAGCGCCGACTGCCTTGACGAAATCCATCCACGTAGGCGACCAGGGTGTGATGGACCTCCTTCAACTTGTTGTAGCGGCTGCGATTAGAATCACTTGCCTCGTCTAAGGCTAGCGCAGAGACGCTCCTGCAGCTTAGTATGGGGGCCTCTGTGGCGGTGGATCTGTGAATAAACCCAGGACCTTGGGGGCTGTGCGGCTGAGCGAGTCGGGCCAGGGTCTGCCGCTACGGGTTCTGCCTCCGCTCGCCGCTGGGCCGGCTGAGGCCTTTCTGCGGGCGTAGGGGTCGGGCGCGTTTGCGTCTGCCGCTGAGGGCGGGTGCTAGCTGGGTGGCCAGGTCGGAAGTGGCGTCGCAAGCGCCCGCCTGCCCTGCGCGACGCGGGCGGGCTGCTGACTGCCGCGGGAAGACTTCCCCGGAGTCGCGGTCCATGATGCAGCCCAGGGTTGCTGGGGCAACGTTCCAAATGTATACCAGGCATCTTCTGCAGCACCACGCGGCGTTCCATTTCCGCTCAAGCCAAAAGAGTGGCCATTGATCCCACTCGGGGAGACCTGTGCGCTCGTTGCCTACTGCCTCGGCCTCGGCCTTCCAGATGAAGCAGCCAAGCGCAGGCGCGTCGACCCTCCATACCAGGAGTGGCCCATCGGGCGGGCAGGTGTCGCACTCGGCGGAATAGGAGCCCGTTTTGTAGGCATCGGCTCCGAACCTTCCATCCGAGATCCTCTCCGCTGGCAGGGTAGCGTCGGCGAGCCGCGGGCGGTGCTGGGCAGACGGGGCCATCAGGAGGTCGCTCTGCGCCCAGAACGCCGGAGCGGAGAGGAGGTTGTCCATGGCGTCTGTGATGGACCTTCCCAGGGCTTCCCAATTAAAGTCAGGCTCGAGCGGCGTCTCGACTATGTCGGCGAAGCTGTTAGCCAGGGACCCCCTGGCCCGCTTGATGGCGTCATCGATCTCTTTTGCCCCGTCGCCCCCGTCCGCACTGCCTGACCAGGATACGGGCGTGCTGACCCAGGTGGCAAGCTCTCGGACTGGGTCGAAGTTGGAGTCCAGGGCCAGGTGGTACCTGCTGCCTGGTGTACGATTCCTCTGGAACCTGACCCAGAGGTTAGCGAGCCTCCCGCATTCTGACAGCACCCGTAGTCTGGACAAGGTGGCGCTTGCGAACATCCTCCCGTCTCCGATGACCACCACGAACCGGGTAGCTCTTGTGATCGCGACGTTAACCCTGTTCGCATCGTCGATGAAGCCACAGTTGTGCCCTCCGTTGGACCTGGTAGTCAGAAAGATCACGATGTCGGCCTTGCCGCCCTGGCTGGAGTCGATCGTAGAGAGCTCCAGGGTGCCTTTCTTGAGGTGTGGGGAGGCGATTTGCCGTAGGCCAGGGAAGCGCAAGCTGATGCCAGTCCAGTCGCAGTCGGATTGGTCGAAGACACGCTCCCAGCCGGTGGTGTCTACTGGTCGGTATCCAGCCTCGCTCGACCCTGCGCCGGGCGCTGGGGAGCGGCTGCGGTCGATCCTGGAGTCGTTGTCCCCCTTGCCCTTACCGCCATTCGGCTTGCCTTTCCCTCCCCGTGCGTGGCGGAGGACGCCCGAGATGTTGCTTGGACCTTGCGGCCAGCCATCTTCCAGGACTGCTGTCTGCAAGTGGTAGCCGACGACCAGTCGCACCGTTACCCCGTCGTCGAGGGCAGGTAGGAGGGCGCGAACGATGTCGACTGCCTGGGCCGCCTCTGGCAGGTTGGCGTAGCCCACGTGAATACTGGAGGTGACTTCCAGGGAAGGGTTGTCGACCAGGAGAAAGCGGTGCCTGTCGCCGGGGTCTGCGCTGGAGGGGTGCAGCGGGGCGAGGGTCTTCTCCAGGTCGTCCCTCTCTGAATCTGTGAGCTTGGCCAGTCCTTCTAGCCTGCTGTCGTCCAAGGCGGTAACTGGGCGCCATGGGATACCTTTGACCAGGGGCCGCTCTGCTAGTGGGCGGGTGAGGCCGCTGACCATGCAGCTGTTGTAGAAGGCCCACTTCGGCCAGGCTAGGATCTGCGGGTGCATCCTGTAGCATACTGTTAGCTGTATGACTGCGGAGTCTTGACCTCGCAGTGCGTGAAACAGCTGGTCGAAGATGCTAACGCAGAGCCCCAGGTCGGCGGCCAGCTTGGAAATGACCGTGGGACCACTTCTGGTACGCTGATCATGGGGAAACGTGAGACCCTGGCAAGTTTAGCAGACGAACGCGCGCGGCGCGAAAGCGAGAGCCACATTTTGAAAAGGAACCGCCCTCAATCCGTGAAACTCCTGCAACGTATTAAAACGAATGCGCGCGGCGCTAAGGCGAGAGCCACATATTGAAAAGAAACCGCCCTCAATCCGTTAAATTCCTGCAATGTTTTAGAACGAGTGTGCGCGGCACTGAGGCGAGAGCCGCCTTGTTGAAAAGGAACCGCCATCAATCCGCGAAACTCTTGCACATGTTGAAGACGAATGTGCTCGGTGCTGAGGCGAGAGCCACAGATTGAAAACCCCCCGCCCTCCATCTGTGAAACTGTTGACAACTTTTAAGCCTCAGGGCCAAAAATGGTGAGGAAGTCAAGGAAACCGCCCGGACCGCCCTGAAAACTGGCCTCGGGGTGCGACAGGGAGAAGTTATTCATAAGGGAAGGAACGGAGGAGGAGGAGGAGGAGGAAGAGGAGGAGGAGGAGGAGGAATGGAGGAGGAGAAGGAGGAAGAGGAGGAAGAGAAAAGGGGGGGAGGAGGAAGAGGAAGAGGGGAAGAGAAGAGAGGAGGAGGAGGAAGAGGAGGAGGAGAGGAGATGGAGGGGAGGGGGGGAGGAGAGGAAAGTGGAGGAGGGGGGGGGAGGAGGAGGAGGAGGAGGAGGAGGAGGAGGAGGAGGAGGAGGAGGAGGAGAAGGAGGAGGAGGAGGAAGGGGAGGAGGAGGAGGGGGGAGGGGGGGGGGAGCGAGAGGGGGGGGGACGAGGAGGGGAGGAGGAGGAGGAGGAGGAGAGGAGGAGGAGGAGGAGGAGAGAGGAGGAGGAGGAGAGGGATGAGGAGAAGGAGGAGGAGGAGGAGGAGGGGAGGAGAAGGAGGAGGAGGAGGGAGGAGGAGGAAGGAGAAGGAGGAAAAGGAGAAGGAGAGGAGGAGGAGGAGGAGGACGAGGAGGGGGAGGAGGGGAGGAGGAGGAGGAGGAGGAGGAGGAGGAGGAGGAGGAGGAGGAGGAGGAGGAGGAGGGGGGGAGGAGGAGAGGAGGAGGAGGAGGAGGAGGAGGAGGAGGAGGAGGAGGAGGAGGAGGAGGGAGTGGAGGAGGGAGGAGGAAGAAGAAGAGGAGAGGAGGAGGAGGAGGAGAAGGTTGAGGAGGAGGAGGAGGACGACGACGAGGAGGAGGAGGAGGATGAGGAGAAGGAGGAGGAGGAGGAGGAGGAGGAGGAGGAGGAGGAGGGGGAGCGCTGAGGGGGTAAGCAGGGCTCCCGTGATTGGCTACCGACCCCCCCACCAGTGGGCCGCGGGGGCGGCGAGGGGCCAAGCGGCGGAGCGAGCCGGGCCGGGGCCGCACGGGCCCCGGCCAGCGCTCGAAAACGGGCCGGCCAGGGCCCTGCCTCGCGAAGCGCGGCAGGCCGCCTGGCAGCTCCCAAAGAGGGAGGCACCAACTATACGCCAACCCAGACATGATCGTGTCGTACAAAACAAAATCAGGACGGGTGGTTTTTGGCATAGTTCGGCCTCGGGGGGCTCTCGCTGGGCCCTGGGACCGTCAAAAAGCGACTCGGGATGGAAAACCGGTCCCGGGGAGAGGGAGGGGACGTCCGGCCCAGCCCCTCGCCCCAGCCCCCCCGCCCGCGGCCCGTTGCGTCGGCTGGCCCTTGGCTCTGCGGCAGCGATCTCAGGGCAGCCGAGATCATCCCGGCGCGCCCACCTGCCCTCCGAGCTCGCGTTCGCGAAGGCGCGCCGGCCCCTGGCGACGGGCCCCCTCGGCGGCGCCCCCGAAGGGCGGCGGCGAGTCCGAGCCAGACGGGGAGCGGCGCGATGAGCAGAAGGCCGGCGGCGCCAAGGCAGTCCAGCGAGGGAGAGGGTAGCAGCTCGAGGGCGCGGGCGCCGAGCCGAGAGCGCGGCGCGGAGGCCGCCGCCGAGCGGCTGCCAAGGAGCGCAGGCTCGCGACCAAGGACGCAGGCCTCAAGGAACTCCTGCTGCTGCTGTCCACGCGGGTGGCCCAGCTGGGACCGCGCATTGAAAAAATCAGGACGTCGCATGTCTGGCTGTACACCAACCCCGATCCTGGCCAGGGTCACCCTGGGCCCAGGATCGGTGTACACGCCCTCCTGCCTCGGGCAGAATGCAGGTACGCCGATCCTGGGCCCAGGAACGGCCTGGCCAGGATCGGTGAAGTGTGTAGTTGGTGCCCTCTGACCGAGCCCGGGCCCGCGGAGGGCGGAAAGGGGGAATCGGCCTCACGTGGCTCCCAAGCCCGGGCCAAGCAAAGGGGATGGGCTGACCCCCGTCCGCGCGGACCCCCTTTACGCGTGAGCCCTGGCAGGGGGCCAGAGGCAGGCAGCCGGGCGAGGAAAAAGCAGGAGGCTGAGCGGCGCGCCTCTGCTTCTCGGAGTAGCGCACCAGCCGGTACTCGCCGTGGTTATCCGCCACCGTGCCCCCTGGCGCGTGGAGGCGTGGCAGAATGTCGAGTGCTGTCTGGTAGGTCTTCTGTTAGGAGGCATCTCCTGGGAGGCCTTCGTCAGAGCGATATTGCACAGGACAGGGCCAGATTGAGCGGATCGCGCGGGATACAGCCAGATTAAGCAGGACTCAGCGGGATCAGGCCAGTCATCGACCAGGGATATACGAGCGCCGATTCTGAACGTGACCTCCCAGGAGTCACATCCTGAGGTAGGGCTCCTGCAACCTTCGGAGAGGCGTGGTAGAATGCCAAATGCTGTCTCCCGCGACTCCTGCAATCTTCTAAGAGACCCTCGCACCCCCCTCCCGTCACGGAAGAGCGTCGGAGGAGGAGGAGGAGGAGGAGGAGGAGGAAGGGGAGGGGGAGCACGGTTCCCACAGCCCGCGGGCACGAGGTGCCCCGCGTCGCGGCCTCCAGGTGCGACCCCCCACAGCCGTCGCCGCCCTGGTGCTGGGCTTGCACGGCGGCGGGACTGTGCCGGGATAGATCTGGTGGAGGATCAGGCCGAGGCCCCAGCAGTCTGTCGCCACATCCAGGACCATGCCCTCGAGCATCTCGGGGGGCATGTACTGCATCTCGTGGTGCTGGCACTGCATGTGCTGCTTCCTCGCACCGACGCCGTCGGACATGCCGAAGTCGCACAGCTTGGCGTTGTACGTGGCCGTGACCAGCACGTTGGCCGTCTTCACATCGAGATGCAGAATACTCTTACTGTGCATGTGCTGCAGGCCACCCACGATCTGACGAAAGATACGGCCACACAGGCGCTCCGGCACCTTGAACCCGATCAGGGCATACTGACTCCAGAGCCGGTCGAGGTCGAAGCCGATGGGCTGCACCTGCTCCAGCACCAGGATCGGCTTCCTGCACCCCTCCTCGCTGGCGATCAGCTGGATGATCGCAGGATGTGGCCCCAGCGCCCTCAGCACCCTGATCTCGTTCGTCGCCCGAAAAATGTCCACCTGGACCTCCCGGCGGGGCTGGCAGACGACCACGTCCTGCGCACGGAAGGTGCCGCCGAAGACGTGCTTGTTGGACCCAAAGGCGAGGACATTCTGCGGGTCCCACTGCAGATCCTCAAAACCATTTGCGCCCATATGGCTGGTGGGATTCATGCCACCAGCACCATCAGCATCGGGGCTGCGTCCGAGAGGGCAGCAGCAGGCCGGCACCTGCTTCACTCGGAGAGTCTTGAGTCTATGTGTCTCGGGCCGAAAGGCCTCAGCCAAAACGACTACTGAGGGGGCTCTGGGGGCATCGTGGGAACTTCTCCAGGCCCTGCTGGGGCTTCCGAGAGGCTGCCTTCGGAAAACAAGGAGTGGTATCGCAAACGCACCCTCCTGGAGGCACTTGCCGTGTTACTTTCGAGCTGCCCAGGAAAGTAGGCCATGGGAGAGTCCCAGACGACTCCAAAACGTGCCCCCAGATGCTGCACTTCTGTGGCCGCTGCTTGCTCCCGCCTGCACGGCGCATGCGCAGCAGGGGCTGGCCAGACTGGCTTGCCCGGGGTGGCCAGCACGAGGGCCCGAAGAAGTCCGCGGGAGGCCACCACGCGGCTGCCAGGGACTCCAAGAGGCTCTTCGCGGCGCACTGGATCTTTTGTTTGGACGTGGGCTGACTGACGACCTGCCAGACCACCCCAACCCAACCCGAAGACCCGAACTTCGGGTTTGGGGGGGCACGGGTTCCATCTGTGTGATTTCAGTGTTCCTGGATCCGCCCCCCCCCCTGAAAATGGAAGGCAAATTGAAGCCTTCGGGTTGGGTTCGGGTGATTTGGTGGGTGGTGACTGAGGTCAAGCCGCAGCTCCCTGGACGGACGTCGACGAGGGGACCGAACGAGGACCCGAGAAGCAGGCGAGGCGAGGGCCAGCAAGGCAAACCCGACCAGGACCCCTCGAGGACGCCACAGAGGCCACGAGGCCGCGCAGGGACTGGCGCGCCTGAGTACACGACAGCGAAGGCCTGGATCACAGGAATGCCAGAGGGCTCCAAAGGGGGCTTTTGGGGAGGGGGGGGTCCAGAGAGCCCCCGCAGGGGCCTCGGGAGCCTCGTCAAAACAGGGGGTGCGAAGCCCCTGGGGGGGACCCCTCCTGGAAAACCCCCTCCTCAAAAACCCCCGTTGGAACCCTCCGGGAAATGTGTCAGACAGGTGAGAAAGGCGGAGCGTCCTGTGCACGCAGCCCCGTGCCTGGCCTCGCAGCATGCACGGGGCCCTGAAGCGGCAGGAGCATAATTAAGGTGGCGGGGCCTCCAGATCCTCATGGGACCGCGGGCGCCAGCGGGGGGGGAGCAGGAGTTGAGGAAGAACGGCATGACTTGTTCGATCCATGCGCTCTGCCTTACATCCTTCAGCATCTAGAGAGGGCCGGCTATCCAGCCCCAGGGCCATCAAAAACGAGTCTGGGTCGGGACCTCCCCAAAGATCCGATGTCGTGATTTTTTCAACGCGCGGTCCCCGGACGTCCCGACCCATTCCCCAAAACCGCTTTTTCATCCCGAGCCGTTTTTTTGACGGTCCCGGGGCCCGGCGAGGGCCCCTATATATAGAGCCGAAAAATACGAAAAAACTCCGTCATGATTTTCTCAATGCGTTGCATCTCTGGGTCTGGGGCCGCGCATTGCAAAACCCACAACGTGGCATGCCTCGGGCAAAGGGAAACCACCGCGTCAGCCAGCCGAGGCCAGCCCGCCGGCGGACCGGCCCGAGCCGGCCCCCTCCCTCGAGCGGCGCTGGGCGGGTGGGCGCGAGGAGGCGCTCCGCGGGTGGTGTGCGGGCCCGAGCCCGCGCCATGGCTGCGAACACGTTCCCGGGATGTTCCCGGCAGCCTCTGCAGGAACACCGAGATCCGAGCGCCCGCCCAGCACCTGCTCGCCCCCACAGCCGAACCGCCTGCGATGGTGACGCAAGTCATCAGAGTGAGGGGGCCGAAGTGGGGTCGGTGCGGATTGTCGTTGCGTTATTGCACCGCGTCGTTACGCTGTCGTCGTCTTCCTCACCCGCGACCCGCCCGCGACCCACCCCGCGACCCACCCCGCGACCACCCCGCGACCCACCTGCGACCCACCCACGTTGCTTTCACGAAAAAACCGGCGCATGCGGCAGGCTCGTTGCGCATTGTTATAAAATCGGCACCTGCGGCGGGCCTATTCAGAGCGTCACAGTCTGCCGACGACCACGCCGCCCCCTCACTCTTGTCCCCAAATGCGTGGTGCGATGTACAAATTCCAGTGGCTGTCGTCCTCGTCCTCGACCCCATCCCATTCTCGACGACGTCGAGTCGTCGACGGCTTCGCCGCTTCGGGTTACACCGGCGGTTCTGGAGGTCCTTCGAGAAGTCTACTGGGATTGGCTCTGTGACTTGCGGTCATCTGGAGGGGGATTGTCCAAAAGGGGGTCTCGGGGATTTCTCGAAGGCTTCAGGGGTCGCCCTCAGGCCGAGCTCGCAACAGAAGGATGACCAGGATGCGGAGGATGAGGAGGGGGCGGAAGGAATTTTGAACGGAATTGGAACGCACGAGATGCAAAATTCAGCCAGCCAATTATACATATATTAAAGCATTGTCATGTTCCACTTGTCTTGCTCGACGTCGCTCATCTGTTCCCTTTCCCGCTCCCTCTCTCTCCCAGCCCCCCTCTTTCTGATACTCTCCCCACTCACCGTGCGCCCTCTGTTCTTTTCCTCAAGCTCATCGCATTGTTCTTCCACCACCTCCTTCTCATCCTCCTCCTCCTCGTCCACTCGATCCCCGTCCCTCGAGGACTCAGTCCTCCCTCTCCCGACGACGATGTGGAGCTCAAAGGCAAGGGTAACATCACAACAGCGGATACATGTCGCGGTGTTGTTAACAAACCCTTTCGGGGCCTATTGGGGTACCCTCTTGATATATTTGGAAGATATGTCAAGCCTCTTTGCAAAATCTCTTCTGGGCGTTGGAGGCTGAGTGCGGGCGGGAATTGGAATCGCTCGGGGGAGTCCTGCGGCGTTTGTTGTCACCGAGCTGACAAAGAGATTCAGATTGCCCGCTCCAATTTTCTCACTTGGGTGCGGATTCATACCCCTCTGGAGATTTCTCGGCCAAGCGCGCGAATGCAAAGGGAAGGCCAGCAGCCGGGCAGGCAACTCCTAGCAAGGCGAGGCCGTGGTCACCGACATGGACTGCGATCCACGCGCCCGAACAAACAGACGCAACAACGAGATCCCAGAAAATCGACGCAGTTGCCCATGTGACAAAGGGGCTGCCATCCTGCTGCCACAAAGCGTTTGCCCACAGAGCACTGCAAGTCAATAGGTTTACAATGCCAAGGGCTTGAAGGCTTGCAGACGGACGGGTCATTGGGGCAACTCTATCGTAAATGAAAGGCACGAGCGCTGAGAAGGCAAAGTACCATGTGTTAATGCTGGCTATGCTATGTGTACACAGTATAACGTATGCGCCTACACCTCCAAAGATGAGTGTGGATATCCACACTAAGAGACCATCAGCTGCAGGTTTCTGCGGCTGCTCGCACAATCCACATTGCAGGGGGAACGAAAACGCAACTGCAACAGCCAGGCCGAGGTAGTGGAAAAGCAATCGCTTACCGCACTTTCCTGGTGTCGCCCGGCAATTGGTGATGATGATTGAACCTATGGCGGTGATGAACGTCATGGCCACAGCTATGGTTGTTGTATTGGACCCCTGCTCGTGCAAGAATTCATAGAAGACGCGAGGAGCGTAGCTGGGGTCGAGCATCACCCATGGCTTCAAAAACATGTCACGGATGAGCGGCATCATCAAATTGCATCCCCATGTTAGAGTCAACCCAACGCATGCCAGACACAGAAAGCTGGTAGATGCTGCAGGATGCATTGCCAGAATCCAGCTGACCCAAATCTACACACGTGGCGCGGCGTAGGATGCTCTTGAGTCAAACCGTCCAGAGCCAACATGGCCACGGATAAGGTTCCGGGGCGGTCTTGGAGGGTCTTCGGGCCGTCCAGTGGGCACCGGGGCTGAATTGAGCTGGCATCGGGCCCTCCTAGGCCCAGCTGTGGCCCTCCTGGGAGCGTCTTGGGGGGTCTCCTTACGGTTTTTGTTCGGGATCGCCGAGGAGGTTGGGTGCCTTCTCGAAACCGACCTCAGGAGGAGCCCATCGCGCACGCCCTCTGGGAGGGCAACTTCTGCGAGCGGGACGTAGGATCGCCAGGATGCCAGCGGCAGGCGACCCCGCTGCGATCAGCTCCAGACTGGATGGGTATGGCGGCCTTTCGGCCTTCAAAGGTTTCAAAGCTGTTTTGTTGCGATTCCTCCTCGTCGTCGTCCTCTTCGTCGTCGCCCTCCTCCTTCGTCTGCTCGTCCTTTTCCTCTGTCGTCCTCTGTGTTTCCTGCGATCACCCCGCAGCGGCGGGCATGGGCAGGGCCCTCTTGCCCCCTCCTCTCTGGGAGGGCCAGGGGGGCAGGGGACCGGCAGGACGGCGGCTCGAGGAGGAGGGAGGGAGGAGGAGAGAGGAGGGATGAGGGAGGATGAAGGAGGGACGAGGAGGAGGGCGGAGGTAAGTAGGAGGAGAGAGGAGGAGCAGGGAAGAAGAGGACCAGGAGGGCCTGGGGAGGAGGAAGGACGAGGAGGGAGGAGGAGCAGCGGCAGCAGGCAGGAGGGAGAGAGAGGAGGAGAAAGAGGGGGAAGAGGAGGCGGAGCGTACCTGGGGGCTCCGCCTCCTCTTCCCCCTCTCTCTCCCCCCGCTCTCTCCTAAGGCTTTACCTTCTCGGCCCTAAGAGGGGGAAGAGGAGGACGAGGAGGAGGAGCTGCTGTCGGCGGCCGGCTCTGGCCACTCAGGGCGAAAGCGATGGCGACGGTCTCGCCAGCCGAAGCCTCGCTCAGCAGCTGGCCGCCTGGCAGGGCGGCGTCGACTTGGTCGCATCTGGAGCCCAACCTGCCTGCGCCATGCTCGGCCGCCAGCTGGTCGTACACATCGACGAGCGGAGTCCAGGACGCCACCTGGAGTCGGCAGCGCTCCAACCCGCCCAAGGTCACGAAGCTTATCGATTCACCGTCCAGCGAGGCCTGCAGGACAATCGTTACAAGCAAGCGCGCGGTGTACGTCAGGCCTCCGACCAATGCTGGCACGTCGCAC